CTATTGGTTGATGTCACACGCTCTACCAATAGGAGAGCGCAAAACGTCATTAATCCAACCCAGGTTGGTGCAAACCCGGTTGGGCCGAAAACGCTAATAGTAAAAAAGCAGCGCAACGACACCGATAAATGTCGCTAGGCATGTAAAACAGTTACGGAATAGGGGCCAGTGGAATTCTGTAACTCGTTATGCGATCGTTATGTGCTCATAACGACAATCGCGCAAATATTTTATATGGTAAAAAAGCTGCGCAACTGTCGTTACGAACTCATAACGACTGCGTAACGAGTTACAGAATTCCACTGCTGCGGTGCTATTCTTGAAAAGAAACGTATACGAAAGTCTAGGGAAATACTATAGTATACGTAACATATACTGTAGCATTTCCCTAGACTTTCGTATACGTTGGGCTGCGTTCAGGAATTATGCCTAGATAACTCTAGGGTGTATTTTTGCTATAATATACGTAACATAATCTATAGCTTATCTGGGTGTAATTCCTGAACGCAGCCTTGCTTTTCAAAGGGTGGCACCCAGTTGGACACGGCTCAATTGGACACGAGCCACTCACAGCGCTTGAAACTACAAAGCTCCTAAGCACCGGTCGCTGTGATTGGTGGTGTCCAATCGAGACGTGGTCAATCGGGATCACCCCCTTTTCAAGAATAGGGTCCCAGGTCGTATATTAGATTGCGCAATGTAAATTGCAAATAAAAATAAATAATGTAATAAGAAAACAAAGAAAAATAAAAAATATGTGCAATCGTATTTCTAATCAGTAATATTGTTACAGTTTGTAATATTTTATATTTTAATAGGTTGAAATAAAGATTTCATTGTTATTTTAACTTCTGATATTGTTTTTATCAATCATCTGCTGTGAACGTTTGAATTCCACGTGTATAGAATGGGCCCTATGTGATTGGTTGACAAAATATGTCCCCTCACTCTCTGCCGCCATTATGCGCAACGACACACCTATAAGTCCACCATGTCCGCGACCATTTGTTTAGATTTGTCGGTGGTTTCTTAAACGTTTCGCAATATTTCTTTTTTACCTTAAGGGGATGCTAGAGTGACGGTCGAAGTAAATCAAGGTCGATAATATAGATAAGAAACTTAAGCTGGAAACACAATAGACACAAGCAATAGGCACAGGCAACAGGGAATAACGAGCCGTCCAATCAGAGCTCTGGGATATAATATCGAATTTATACCCCAAAGCTCTGATTGGACGGCTCGTTATTCCCTATTGCCTGTGCCTATTGCCTGTGTCTATTGTGTTTCCAGCTGTATACGCCTGTACGCTTACGCCCTCTGAGCGCCCTACAGCGCGTTAGCCTTGAAGCCAAACGCATTCCCTTAGGACTTATATAAATGGAAGAGGTATTGCCTATACTTCCCATGGCTCGCGCTGATGCAAACATCTGTGCGAGAGAGAAAGGTAGTAAGGGATAAATGTTCCCATTGCGCATGCGCAGCATCACGTTTTAGGGTGCCGTCCCATGACGCGTATCACTGTACGCGCGTATTCGCGTATCGAAGGATCCGACCAATCACCGACGATCCGCCGTTTTACGTACGCGCCGTTTATGCCTATACGCAACAATCAGCGGTTTATTTTTTATTAACGCTTAACATCTTGGTTCGTGGGGCAGAGCGACGCTTTTTTTTGCCAGATTTCTTCCGTTTCATACAAAAACGCGTCGAATAAACTTAATTTCATTGATTTTTGAAGTGGATTTTACCTGTAATTCTACATGCTTGCCATCAATACAACCAACACAGTTGGGATAATAAAATAGTCAAAATCTGCAGCAATGTTTTGCCAATTCTTTACTTTATCTTCAAGAAAAACTATCTCCTTTAAAACATTCCATATAGCGTTGCAAGTCTCCGCTATTATTTTTGAAACGGTGTTGTGGGCAACACGAAAAGCATATGATATTGACATTATGCTGTCTCCTGAAGCTAGATAGCGGAGTGTGATATGTAAACGCGTTTCAGAGGGAATTGGTTCGCGAACGACAGACTGCTTCGTAATTAATGGACCAATTAATTCCAATAATTTTTTTAATGTAATTGAATCCATTCTAAAGTATTATACGAAATTTTATTTCATCTTCAAACTCCATTTCTTTGACGAGATTTTCACTAGCTCCTTGCAAGAAATGTCGATGCAGGGTAAATATGGGTCGTACCCAAAATTGATGTTATTTGTCTTTTCCTTTGTTTCTTATATCTTCATACAATGCATACAAAAATAAGATTTTTCGACGCAGTATTTCTTGTTTAAAGGGATTACTTTGTTTGAATTTGTTTACTAATGTAAAAATTGCTAACAATATATAGTCTTCATTTGAATCCATTTTTTCTGTAACAAAAATAACATCTTATTTTGTACTAAATAGTACTGAATAGATTATAATTTCTTTCAATCAGGACTCTAATATACTACCGTATTTATTTGTATCTACCTTTTTGGTTAAGGAGCACTTCTACATGAAATAAGAATCGCTAACGACCCGCCGTTTTACGTACGCGATAATTTTGCCCTTAATGTCCCATGGAGCGGTTCGTGCGTAAGCGGATTAGCGGATCGCCAATTACAACATCATTCTGTTAGATCTGCTTGCAAATTTTGCAAATGTAATTTTGTAATTGGCAAAAAAAAAATTTGACAAAAAAAATTTGTAATTGGCGATCCGCTAATCCGCTTACGCACGAACCGCTCCATGGGACATTAAGGGCAAAATTATCGCGTACGTAAAACGGCGGATCTTCAGTGATTGGTCGTATCTTTCGATACGCGAATACGCGCGTACAGCGATACGCGTCATGGGACGGCACCCTTAAGGTGCCTTTAAGGCATTTCCTCATATCGCATGCTATCGCATGCCTACCACATAGCTCCTATTCAGGGTGCGTTCCGTTTCTCGCATGATGCGCATCACAGATGTCTATACTAATACTAGATCGCTAACACGGTCGAGAGAGCTGAAGCCGGCGGGATTTCCGGTTTCGGCCATGATGGGAACAATAAAATGGCGGCGGTGCGTGTGTAGTAGTGCGTATGTGAGTATCTGGCGTGTGTTAGTCACGTATGTGTCACTCAGCCACCTGCGTGTCGATACTTTTTCTGACTTTTTCTGTACATTCCAAGTAAAAAAAAGTGTAAAAATGCCGAAAAATTGTAAATTGTGTAAATATTTATATATTAAATAAATTATGTACGCATGAAAGTTAGGTCAATTTAACATTACATTTTTATAGTTTGTTTAAATATGTTATTAAAAACTACATTTTATAAAAAATAATTACAAAATTCTGCATTTTTTATACAAGTACTATAAACATTTAAGATAATTTTTTTATGATTTATTTTAAATATATTTCATTCCGCACTAACTTGGTTGCTGTAAAGATTAAAACGAAGACAAATATATTTCTAATATTTATTAGAAAAAGAAATAAAAGTTTACATGTTTATAACGTCGCATACACAAGTAGCAAAAGATATATAATCTATGTATTATTAAATAGTATCAATTTTGATAACTTCTGTCGTTTGCTTACGGGATTTATAACAGTACTCACTTGTAGATTGTGTCTTCGGCGATGGAATTGAAGCAAGAACTGTTGCATTGTTTTCTTTTGGTTTCAATATACTCCTCCACACAATTGCAGATGAATTTTTTTCAGCAGATGTAGGAACAGGAGTAATGCCTATCGAAGAAGTGGTGCTAGATTTCATTGCAATAGTACTACCTTCCAGTGCAGGAGTTGTGTCATGTTCTATCGCAGGAATAATGCCAGAGACAGGAGCCTCCAGAAATACTGATGGCACAGCCAGATTTTTTAAGCGCACGTCACTTGAATTTGATCTTTCCATAAAATCTGTATGTACAAAGTGAGCACTACAGATTAAATCATTTTTCTTTGGTACAAAATTTCCTCCGATGGCATTAATCCACATTTTTAACGCATCTGGACGCGTAAACGGTAATCTGAAATATTAACAACGTTTAATTGAAATATATAACCTTCACATATTACGAACCTCGAATATTTATTACACATAAATGCTTTCTACTTACCTAAAGAAATGAAAACCTTGCTTTCTTTTATTTTTGCATTTTATAATGCAACAATTTTTCGGCATTTTTACACTTTTTTTTACTTGGAATGTACAGAAAAAGTCAGAAAA